GGGGAAAGGAATATTTCTAACTTCACCTGCTTTGCAATTACAGCTCCTCTGTCAGTGCCTCAAATGCATCATTTCCCCAGCAAACCTTCTTGAGCATGACTCAGTCCCTGCATCACATGAACCATGAAAAATTCTTCAAAGCTCTCACTAATATGAAGGCCCCTAAAAGCTCAACTTTGGCAGAAATCTCAAATTTGTGCATTTTTCCTGAACCTAACCTTTCTTGGCTTAAACGAGCAGAGGAGGAAGATTGCAAACCGACGTATCACCTGTCTTTTGACACTCCGGGGCAGGCCCACTCCACTCTCCATTTTTCTCATCCTTCGTGGTGCAGTAAATAAAGTCCTCTCCAACGAGCGTGTATCCCTTGTCACACCTGTAAGTCACAACTGACCCATAAACGAAGTCACTTGTGAATGTGCCGCTGTGCCTCCCGTGAGGGATATCTGGAGGTGGAAGACAAGGAATATCTGGAGAGACAGAGAGGATTGTTTTAAAATCAACACTAGCAAAGCAGCTGCTTCAGTTGCCTGTTGTGCACCAATGTTTTGGAAGCCACAAAACTGGCACTTCCCAAAAGTGCACCCGTCACACACACATACATATACACCCCAGAAATTGGACTCAGGAAAAGGGCCTTTACAAAAGTTTCCATTTTAATGAGCTGGTATTTCAGATGAACATTTTTATTGTTGAACTATTCCCCATCAGTTGTAGTCGTGACCTACTTACTTTGACAAATGGGTACATCACCGCTCCATCTAACAGTCTTGCCAGAAATCTCACATCGCCTTTGATCCTTTCCAATCAATCTGTACCTAGAGTTTGACAGGAGGGTTATTAGCTGGTTTCAGCTCATACAGCTTAACTTTTCAGCCCCAGGAGGTGGCCACCAATACTCCTGTTTTTAAGCTACAGTTCAAAAGGCCAAGATTTCTCACCAGCTCAGACTTCTCCAACAGCCAGTCCTTGGCACAGAATCCTTTGGAGGCCCAATGCACTGGTATTCTTGGATCTAAGGACTTGCGTCTCCATGCTGCACCCACAACTCCAGTCCTCCTCCCAATATCAGCTGCATTTTCCCTCAACACTCAAGCACAACTGACAATTCAATTTCCCTTGGGATGTTTTTATTTTGCCTGCTGTAGTAGGATCTCATCTTCTGACATACTTCAATGGCTATGCTTTTTCTTGCAGGAGAGGGCCCAGCAGTCTTTTACAGTAGGCTACAGTGATATTCAACAGGCACAAGTCAGAAGACTTCCGATTTATCAGTTGCCCAGTAATCTTTACTGTAAATCACACATGAGCTCCTGGCCAAAGAAATCCATAGACACAGACATCATGCTGTGAAACTCTGCAGACCTCACAAGAGTTCATTAGATGGCTGCTGCCCTAGGCAGTATCTGTGAAAAGAGTCTTTCTGTACTCCAAGTTTATTCATTTTCCAGCCATACATGACATTTCCTGGTGTGAGATCAGCAGGGATCCTGGTTTTCTCCGATAAAAAATAATCCCCAATTTTTGGATTAAAAAAGTAACCCCAAATCCACATTTTTCTGCAATTAAAACGAAACACCACACACACACACACACACACACACACACACAAAGAATGGTGTTTCATTTTAATCACAGAAAAATGTAGATTTGGGGTTACTTTTTTAATCCAAAAATTGGGGATTATTTTTTATCGGAGAAAACCAGGATCCCTGGATATCAGGCCAGCACTGTTCCACTGACCCCTTGCTTTTCATGTCTGCTGCTGTGACATGATTCCCTTTTGCCATCCTATGATCAGTTTGGGAAGTAGGAAATTAGAGGCATACAGTCCTTCCTGTCACAGTGATGTTAAATCTCCGCGGGGCCTCTCTTCCATGCAAATAGCCCTTGTGCTCAGCTGGCCAGATTGAAAAGAAACATTTCAAAATAAATGATGGAACCTAGACAAGAAAGAAAAGGCCCCGTCCCAGCACACCTTGGGCTGGATAACTCCCAACCACATGCTCAGGGAGCCTGACACTCACCCTTCGTTACAACTGTAGGTCACTGCTGATCCAAGGAAGGCATCTGTCATAATAATTCTTCCATTTGATGGTTCTTCTGGAATACCACACGATTTTTCTGGGTCAGAACAAGGACAGAATTAGGCTTCTTCCTTTCAGTGTGCTGCAGTTACCCAAAAGGCTTGCTCACAGTTAAAGCCACCTGCACAATGGTGATTTTGAAGAGCACAGAATTTGACAGCCTATTCTGAACAGATAGTTATCTTTGACTCATTTTACAAGCGAGGCCACGTGACTGCTTCGAGCAGAGGGTTGGACTATTTGGCCTCCCCAGGTCCCCTCCAACCCTTGTTTTCTGTGATCCTATGACTGGCTAGGATGGCAGCAGGCATGATGTACAGGCATTGCAGGGATGAAAAGCACTGAAAACCGGCCCCTGCTGTTCCTAGTGGCCATTCCTGTTGAGGGGGGACACTGTCAGACTCAGGGGTGGGAAGAAAACCCTAACTGACAATAACTAACATCCCTTACCTGCAGACTGGAAGGCACAAACTATTTAAGAGCATATCATCTCTCCACCCCACTGCCTACTTGTAACTGAACTGAATGCTCTTGTGCTGTATGCTCGCTGCTACAACATAGTGAAGAGGAAACATCTGCCAAAGGACTGATTTAGAAACCTTGACAATAAACTGGTCAGTTTTTGATCTGCTATCAAGTCTTATTTTCAAAACTTCTAATAGCAGCCCTGGAGATCACTAATAACTACCTTGAAAATGACTGGAGCTGGACAGATTAAGGGCTATGATACCAGAACACTGCCAATCCTGTGACCTCAACGTTTTAGCACTTAATGTACTCGGTTACACTGAATACTAATGTGTAGCCCTTTTCTACTCCTCTGGCTCTGCATTTACACAGAGGAAACTGCAAAACGCGGTCCTAGAGCACAGCTGGTATACGATTCCTGAAGACACCGCTAAGGGACGTGGCTAGTGACAGAAAACCAGCCCGACCAAGAACGAGGGAGAGGCAGTGGACATCATTTTGGTTAAGCAATTTCCCTCTGCCTCCTTCCCCAACAAGTGCAGAATCACCCACCTTCGCTGAATGGGACACCTCCACTGACAGCCTAGTGGAGAAGGAGTCTCCTTACTGCACCCTCTGAACTCATAAGAAAAAGCAGCAAGTTGCAGGCTCCAGGGAACCCCAGGACCCAGGGAGCTGTGCCAGGAGACAAGCCCTGAAGGACACCCTGTTCCTTCCACCTCACCCACTAGGATCCACCTGCTACTGGGGTGGGAGCGGGAGCGGGGGCAGAAGACCAGTGCCCCAGGGGCAGAGAAGCCTCTGTGCACCAAAGGACAGCCTTGGAGGTCAGCAGGGCAAGCTCTGCCATGGGACCCACTTTGGGTTCCCAAAGCTGCAGGCTCCCTGCAAGAGGTCAGAGTGGAGGAGTCTCCAGAGGGCCAGTGGGGTGCATGGCTAGAGCAGAGCATGGGGCGCACCTACCCTTGGCGCTCCTGGATATGACGATGAGAGCCAGCAGCACCAGGACCCTCGGTGCCCAGAGACAGCACAGCAGCATCACGGCAGCACCGTCTGGGGATGCTTCTCACTGCACAGGGCATGGGCTGTGACAACGCTGCGACTGGGTGGATCCCGAGGCCCTTCACTTGCAGCCGCAGCTCCTCCCTTCCACTGCGCTCAGAGTCTGCTGCGGCTGGGCCTAGCAGGCACCAAAGTCTGAAGGGAAAGCCCGTACCCAGCCCTGAGCTCTGACTCGGGTTCACTACTGCGAGGGCACAAGGGTTCTCTGGAAAGTCTCTGCCTTCACAACCAGCACTGTGGTCAGGGCACATCAGCCCGCATTTGGTTCCTGATTCTCACTTGCTCTTAGTCAGAGCATCAATTCTTTTTAAAGAGGCCAGGAATAGAAGCAGATGTAGTCCCAGAGGAAGATGGGCGCAGCTCCGCCTAGGCCCAGACATGGCTTTTTCCTCCGCTGCCTCCTCCTGCATCAACACGCCTTGTTGGTCCAGCTCCAAACCCTTCTGTTTTGTGCATTCACTGGGGCAGGGATTGGTCTCCTCTCATCTCGAACAGGCTCAGAAGACTTTGCTAATATCAGCAGGGGGCTTAGATGCTTAGAAGGCAGGGCAGATGCACCCTTTTATAGACTAGCTAACTATCAAAGGGTCGCCCCATTGCTTGTTGCAGTCATTTAATCCCCTTTCCTAGGTACATTTCTGAGGATTCCCTTTGCCATTCTTCAGGGCTGGATCTGGCTCCCATGCAGGATTAAAGACTCCTAGTAGCATTTTCACAGCCCTCTGCTTTGGGCAGAGCTGCAGGTTCTTTCTCCTTTCCTGCTGCCTCTATAACTCTTCCGCTGCAGACACTTTCAGTGGCTGTCAGGTCCAGCTGCAGAACACCTATTGTGTTACAGCTGCTATTCTAGTTGTTGGAAATTGGATGAGAGATTTCAAGTCAAACCCCCGTGTTAGACTTTTTTTTCCTATTCTCTACCATCACTGCTAGAGCATGCACCCAAGACTACGGGTAAATGCGTGTGAAACTGAAACTTCTGTGTTAAGGGACATCAGAAGCCACCGGCAAGCAGCTGTGAAAACAGAGCAGGAAGTGGGAGGAGTCCTTCATCAGAAACTGGTTTTTTCTTGAATAAACAGGCTTGGCATTTTAGCCATTCTCCCTGCGAGGTAACCTATGCATCACTCAATACGTGTGCCATCTCTTTTCCCACCGCTCTGTTACTCCCAACAATATTAAGACACGCCGGTCTTCCAGCTTAATAGATTGACAGATACTGGGGAGGGAATTCCTGTAGCCACCAGAGTGAGCCTCAAGCAAAAAAGGAACTTAAATCTTCCAAAGTGCACGTCTAGTCCTTGCACAAAACTTGCAGCATTTGCCAGATATTTCTCTGCATCTTGTTTAGCCTGGCCTGCAAGCTCTGCAGGGTGGGGGCCTGCTCAGTTTTCATGTCGAAAGGATTGTACAAACAATGAATAGCGAGTTCTCAGCAACAGAACAATAATGTATGAAATACAGTTAGATGACAAGGAAATCTGCAGTGACCACCAAGACTCCTTAACTGTTGTTTGATGGTGTGATATATACCCCTGGGGACCCTGCAATAGGTACAAGCTGCATTAGGCCCAGGATGTGGACAGATATAAGAACTGAACCATTCAAGTGTCCCTGTTTGGGAACTGGCTCACAGCTGTCATGGGTCAGTGCCCTGGTGGTCCAAGTAGAATGGGCACCTTGTAGGTCTGCAAGTGCTGTGGCTCTGACACCACGGGGTAGGAGTGAGCATCCAGCCCTGCATGTATCTCAGTGGGCAAGTGGGAGTGGGGTAGAGAGGTGATTGCATCCACATTTTAGGAGTCCCAGGAGTCCTGTAGCTGAGGCCTTTTCACTTTGCTGCTTTCCCTTCTCTCCTAAATATGAGTTCGATCATTCAGTAGTCTACACCTGACCAAAAGTTTCCAGTGTGCTTGCCTGACTTGGGGTGTTTACAAGGGGGCAGTGCTTAGACCCACACTTTTTGGATTCCCCAGGGCTGAGGGGGTATGACGAGGAGCTGCAGTCGAGGAGGGAACGAGGACACAGCCAGGTGTCAAAAAGATCATTTTTATTAAACAAGCAGTGCAAGGGAGCTCATGGATAAAGTGCAAACCAAAAGGAAAAAAAAAGAAGGGGGGAGCTGTAGAGTTCTAGCCACTTAACACCCAACCTGGCTGACCTGTGTCACGAAACACCCCGTATATCCACTCCTTTTTTTGGCAGAACAAGGAGCAATGGTCTCAAGTTGCAAGGGACGTTTAAGTTAGATATTAGGAAAATGTTTCTCACTGGCAGGATGATGAAGCACTGGAACAAGGTACCCAGAGAGGCGGTGGACTCTCCATCCTTGGAGGTGTTTAAGACCCAGCTAGACAAAGCCTTGCTGGGATGATCTAGTTGGGGCTGGTCCTGCTTTGAGCAGGGGGTTGGACTAGATGTGACCTCCTGAGGATCCTTCCAACCCTCATTTTCTGTGACTGTATGCAACACTGACTTGGTTCACAATGAATCGTTTCCAAAGAGAATTTCACTTTCCAGGTGCATTTCTGAACTTTTCCAGGCAGTTTTAAACCAGTTTAACAGGTTTGTACATAAGTCCGCTCCAGGTTTAAACTGCATTTAAACCAAGCTAGAGTGTTTTGGGTGTCCATACTCTTAAATTTAAATCTATAGACTTTCTGGTTATAGTCTGCCTGGTTTGGGGTTTCTGTTCTATGATTCAAAAAAATAATGTCCCTGGGAAAGCCTAGCTTCAGCAGAATCAGAATCCTGCTAGCGATGTACCAGTACAATTCCCTTATGTGGATGCCCTTCTAGGATACAAGTCTTTATCCCAGATCAGTTACTCTGGAAGCAGAGTTGTCAGTTATTCCAGAACGGCATCACTTAATTTACACAATTTAGAAAGTCATCATCTACAGTAAAGACTGTTTTCTTCCAGAGAAGCACTTTCATCAGTAGATCTCAAAAACATTTTCCAAGGGGAGCCCACAGTATTAGCTCAAGGAAAATGTGATCAATCATAATCTCTCAAGGAAGAGCAAAACAAGCTGCAATGGTTTGCAGATGCAGCCTTCAAAAATGCTTTCAACAAGCATATAATATAGAGGGATGTTATCCAGTATTGCAAGATCAGACCATTTGCTATAGTTATATGGCAGCACCTAGTTCTTGATGTGCAGGGTCTTTTAACTGCAATTCATATTCGAGTTCAGGTTGTAAACCTCTATGCACAGAAATGCAGCAAGCTCTCAAGTGAGAGAGGCATCATCTGTGGGCATTCATTTTGCATTGTAAAAGAATTTTAAATGGTCTTAAAAACCCTTGAAATTGATGTAAAAGCAATGGTTGTGGCTCAGTGAAGGGCCATATTGTAGCACCCTGTGTCAGAAAAGTGAGTAAAGCTGAAGAGACTGAGGCACTGGGGTTAGTGTGCCTGGGGGTAAGGCAGCAACAAGTCACTGCCAAAGGAAAGGCTCCTTTCACCTCCCAGGCTCTCAGGAAGTCTTGCCAGGTTGGCTGTGAAACTGCTTTAGCAGGGAGCTC